TACAGGAGATGACCAGAGACTGCGGACACAGTACAGGAGATGACCAGAGACTGCGGACACAGTACAGGAGATGACCAGAGACTGCAGAAACAGTGCAGGAGATGACCAGAGACTGCGGACACAGTGCAGGAGATGACCAGAGACTGCGGACACAGTACAGGAGATGACCAGAGACTGCAGAAACAGTGCAGGAGATGACCAGAGACTGCGGACACAGTGCAGGAGATGACCAGAGACTGCGGACACAGTACAGGAGATGACCAGAGACTGCAGACACAGTATAGGAGATGACCAGAGACTGCGGACATAGTACAGGAGATGACCAGAGACTGCGGACACAGTACAGGGAATGACCAGAGACTGCGGACACAGTGCAGGAGATGACCAGAGACTGCGGACACAGTACAGGGGGGATGACCAGAGACTGCGGACACAGTGCAGGAGATGACCAGAGACTGCGGACACAGTACAGGAGATGACCAGAGACTGCGGACACAGTACAGGAGATGACCAGAGACTGCAGAAACAGTACAGGAGATGACCAGAGACTGCGGACACAGTACAGGAGATGACCAGAGACTGCGGACACAGTACAGGAGATGACCAGAGACTGCAGAAACAGTGCAGGAGATGACCAGAGACTGCGGACACAGTGCAGGAGATGACCAGAGACTGCGGACACAGTACAGGAGATGACCAGAGACTGCAGACACAGTATAGGAGATGACCAGAGACTGCGGACACAGTACAGGGAATGACCAGAGACTGCGGACACAGTACAGGGGATGACCAGAGACTGCGGACACAGTGCTGGAGATGACCAGAGACTGCGGACACAGTACAGGGAATGACCAGAGACTGCGGACAGTGCAGGGAATGACCAGAGACTGCAGACAGTGCAGGGAATGACCAGAGACTGAGGACACAGTGCAGGGAATGACCAGAGACTGCGGACAGTGCAGGGAATGACCAGAGACTGCGGACAGTGCAGGGGATGACCAGAGACTGCGGACACAGTGCAGGGAATGACCAGAGACTGCGGACAGTGCAGGAAATGATCAGAGACTGCGGACACAGTGCAGGGAATGACCAGAGACTGCGGACAGTGCAGGGATGACCAGAGACTGCAGACAGTGCAGGGAATGACCAGAGACTGCAGACAGTGCAGGGGATGACCAGAGACTGCTGACCTTTGGGGAGGGAGGGGGAGCGGGTACCTGAATTTGACAGGTACCCGCTCCCACTTCCGCGGAGTTGCCTTTCCTCTTCTTCCCGGGCCGGCTTCTGTGACAGCCGGGTGCCCACTGCGCAGGTGCGAGAAGCGCTTCGCTTTGTGAATGGCCCGGCGCCTTCTGGGACCCTTCATGTGTCCCAGAAGACACCGGATCATTCACAAAGCGCAGCACATGTGCAGTGGGCACCCGGCTGTCACAGAAACCAGCGCGGGAAGACTGTGCAGCGCTGGAGCGAGGAACAGGTAAGGCCCTGCAGGAGACAACAGCTGAGCGGGCCGGCCCGGTATTCTGACATGGTGGCCGCAAAAATACCGGACCGGCCGCTTTATATTCGCTCCATAAGACGCACTGACATTTTCCCCCCTTTTTGGGGGGGAAAAAAGTGCGTCTTATGGTGCGAAAAATACGGTACTTCAATTTGGCCAACCTGCCCAGTGCAAATCTGCAAAATATATCATCCCTGCAGTTTAGTTGTAATAGCTCTCTTCTTCTCCATTAACCACCCCTGAGTACTTTTTATAAATTCTTTTTACTGTTAGGATATTTTATGATTTTTTTTGAGATTTGTCTTACCAATTTGCACTAGAAAAGCTGAAATGTGTAGTAATGGCACTAATATTTTAAATGGCGATATTCTTTTTGTTCTGCAGGTACTATGTGTGTCCATAGCAGGGTTCTGGCACCATGGAGGCAGCAGCAAACTAACAGGCACTTCAGTAACAATAAGATCCTGGTGGAGATGGATGAAACTACTGGTAAGAGCAATAGAAATATATTCCACACATTGTACAGGTTTTTTATTCTTGATCAAGTGGCATTTACATTTAATTTGTGCCTGCTGGAAAATCACCTAGATCTACAACAAAGCGTAATGTCCATAACAGCCAGTGAGCTCCCTTCTGGCATTTTTTTTCAGCACAGTTTTAATAATGAGAAGCTATCTGGCCCAGGGGCGGACTGACCATTTGGAAACTCGAGCACTGCCCGAGGTCAGTAGGGGGCCCCATGAGATGCCCCTGGTACATTTTTCAAAGGCTTTTTTGAGTTTGGGCAAGGACACAGATCCCCTATTGCCTGGGGGCCCCATGAGTTGTCAGTCCGCCCCTGATCTGGCCCATGACATTGGAACTGTACTGCACTTCTATCAGCCGATCTTACATCCACACTGACCACTAACATCATCCCGATTGGATAGTGGGCCTCTGAGAGATGAGGACAGTTGGGGAATGCACATTTGAGCCTGAGTGTGCCAGAGATCAGATTTATCTTTTCTTTTTTTTTTTTTTTAAATGCAAAGTTCATTGGTTCCTGTTGCACCACTGACAGTTTAACTCTGACAAATGAGACAGCAATCGGTGTGGCAACAATTGCCTAACTTTTCCCAATCCAGAACAGGACAGTCGGACTTGCAGATACAAATCTATGCAAATTTCGATGTTCTGGCAGGCTGTTACACAAGCAATTATAGCGTATGTTTGTGTATCTTACAGCTGTACCATCAATTACTTGTACATGCCTTTCGCAACTAAATAGTGTTCCAGTGTGTCCTGCAAGCTCCTGAGCCTGATGTATATGTTGCATGAAAATAATTATTTGAAAGTTAGTTGATTGGAGTAAAAAAAAAAAACCTGCATTAGTGGGAGTACAAAATGCACTATCATTGCTGTCAGCAGGAGTAAAAAAAAAAAAAAAGCCCCATCATTTGTGATGGTGGTGGTTATCAGTGGAAGGTTCCCCAGGAGGAAAAAATACTTTATCACTGGTGTCAGTGGGAGCGATAAATGCTTTATCATTGGTCTTGGTGGGAGTAAAAAATGCCTCATCATTGAGTTTAGTGGGATTAGGACCCCCTCCCTCCCATTGGTGTTCAGTGGCACTTTCTTTTGTGAAGCCTTTAAGTCCTGTGCCACTCCACAACATGGCTGGGACTATACATGCACCAATAAGTAGGAGATCATTCTGTCTGACAAGGTAAATTCCTGAGTTCTGGGACTCTCTGCTTGCCAACTGCTGACACTCAGCATTCTGCAGCCTTTTCCGCTTGCAATAAGAAAGCCCTGCATGTGTGGCCTTCTCATTGCAGGGGCTTGCTTTACTGCGATCATCAGGCTGCAAACTTTCCACAGCTGATACGTTGTAGTTGAGGCCTGCTGCTAAAAACTATTCCAAAGTTAGCGTTTTCTTCTCAAGTACCTAAAATCTTTAATTTATAGAGATTATTTGTAAACCTTCCAGGATTAAATGATAACAGTAAAAAATATAAGGCTTACTGAGCATAAAATATCCTCATCATTGGTGTCAGTGGCAGTAAAAAAAAAAAAAAAAAGCCCTATCATTGGTGGTCGTTGTCAGTGGTAGGTTCCCGGGAGGAAAAAATACTTTATCACTGGTGTCAGTGGGAGCGATAAATGCTTTATCATTGGTCTTGGTGGGAGTAATAAATGCCTCATCATTAAGTTTAGTGGGATTAGGACCCCCCCCCCCCCCTTCCCCCTCCTTCCCATTGGTGTTCAGTGGCACTTTCTTTTGTGAAGCCTTCATGTCCTGTGCCACTCCACAACATGGTTGGAACTATACAAGCACCAATAAGTAGGAGATCATTCCGTCTGACAAGGTAAATTCCTGAGTTCTGGGACTCTGCTTGGCAGCTGCTGATACTTTCGCATTCTGCAGCCTTCTCTGCTTGCAATAAGAAAGCCCTGCATGTGTGGCCTTCTCATTGCAGGGGCTTGCTTTACTGCGATCATCAGGCTGCAAACTTTCCACAACTGATACATTGTAGTTTGAGGGCTGCTGCTAAAAACTATTCCAAAGTTAGCGTTTTCTTCTCAAGTACCTAAAATCTTTAAATAATATATTAAAGAAATTTATTTGTAAACCTTCCAGGATTAAATAACAGTAGAAAATATAAGGCTGACTGTCCTTCCATATATAGTGCCCACTACAAACCATTAGAAAAGCGACATACTTTATTAAAGGGCCATGGCCTGGATAATTCATATGTAATTGGCCTGCAAGTATTTCGCTTTTCTATTACAGTCGAAGGACAAAAAGCCACACATGCCTCGCCAGCTCAGTTGAGATGATGGAAGAGCCACACAAGTGAGCATAATCTGTGGCCTGTGAGATCACCTGCTGATCTTAGGTCTGTAGGGGGCACTATATGTGGGCTGGGGGGGGAGTTGGAGAAAATAGTTATTTTTTATTTATTTTTTTTTTTTTTCAACATTTTGCTATCCTTTTTCATGAGAACACTGTTCAGGACAAAAATAAGCTACCACAGTGTAAGCATAGTTGTACTTTTGGGGGTGTGTGTGGGGGTAATTTTTAATGTGTATTGCAGCAGTATTTTCCCTGCAATTTACAAGTCAATACTTAGGTGAAAGTTAAAATCTTTCTAGTGTTTAAAAGGTGTTTAACACATGAATAAAGAAATTGCATTGTGTGTGATGGCTAGCTAGTGTCCTGAACCCCCACAGGCAGGACATTGTTGGGAGAGGTTTCATTTTTCTTTCCCATTCCACGTGTTCTCGTTTAAAATACAGCATCCTCCTCTAACTGCCATTTAAGTTTTCTTCAGTGAATTAAGCACGGCTCAGTTCTGCTTTAGTCTATGAATATAGGGCACAGAACAGCTTGTGGGTGTATTCAGATCACATTGCTGGGAAAGGTGCCATGCTTTTTTGATCAAAGGCCCCAGTCAGCCTCATGTTACTGATAAGAGAAATAATGGAGCTTTGTCTTTTTTTCCCAGGGGTGGCAGTCATGAAAATGAAAAATCCTCCCGTGAACAGCCTCAGCTTGGAGCTCCTAACAGAATTCTCTATCGGCCTGGAAAAGCTGGAGATCGACCGAGGCTGCCGGGGGCTTATCCTGACCTCCGTACGTGATCCGATTTACTACACGAGTAACAAGTGTGATTGTATTCATTGTACTCATTGTTGCACAACAAGGACGCCAATTGCATCAAATCACATTCATTACTTACGCATTTTATGTTTTCTGGGCCATCTCTGAACCACCGGTAAAGACATATAATGCCTGTGCTGATATCGCGCCATGAATCCCAGTCCTTTAAATGACACCCTTTTTGCATCAAATGCTGCAGTAGATACAAATTATTTCCCTGAGCCAACATGCATAGCTGATCAATTTTTGACAAACGAAGGAAGAGTTAGCAAGTGCATTCATTTTGTTTGTAAATTTTTGGCATGCAACAGTTTACTTTTTTTTTTGTTTATTTGCATTACTGGCAGAAAGCCAAATACATTGGTTGTAGTTTTATTAAAAAAAAAAAAAAAAATGAAATGAGAATGCAGAGGTTGCCTAGAGCAGACAGTCGGTGCAGGTTTCTCAATAAAATCTGTAACAGATCCTGCAGGCAATACTTCAGCTTGCTATTCTTTCCAGCTTTCATAAAGCTGACCTGATGCGTCTGCTACCTCCTGATAAGCAACCAGAACAGTGTTGAATAGAGGGAACAGTGGGAGGTTACCAAAAGCATTGTCTTGTGAAATATGTGATCAGGATTTTTTTTTTTTCATGTTTTGCAATGCCTTCTAGAAAACACAATATATTCACTTCAGTCCCTGAAGGAGCTTACAGTTTGTCCCTACCACTGTCATACAGAAGCAATGATGATCGAAAGAAGTGGACGCTGCCTCAACCAACCCAATGACAGTAAAGATGTTGGCCTCAGTCGCCGCCCCAGCCACGCCCTCTGATGTGTTTTGCCCCGCTCACCAGGGGGGCTTGGTCTCATAAGTTGTGGGTGGGGATAGAAACAAAGGGTGTGGTTGGCCAGCACCATTACTTTCTTTGGGCTGGTTGAGGCAGCTTCCACTTCTTTCAATTATTGTTTCTGAATCAGTGTAGGGGCGCCTGCTCCCATCTTCTGTGTACCGTCGGAGTTATTATTATTATTATACAGTATTTATAAAGCGCCATTGTTTCGCTCAGCGCTGTACATTACAAAGGGGGACAGAACATGTGACAGAACAATACCAATACAATGCAAAACATGAGGGGATCGAGGGCCCTGCTCTTTCGAGCTTACAATCTAGGAGTTGCTCTATATTGCCTGGCTTTGAGTGGTGCTACAAGTTTGACAAGTCACTGTCATACAGACACACACACTAGGACAAATCTGGGGGGGAAGCAATTTACCCATCCAGGATATATATACACACTCTATGATGTCCTTGGTAAAAACTGAATCTAGCACTGTGGTGCTGCAAGACTTTTGGCAGGCACCCTGCCCATTCCCCAGTACGCTTAAAGAATATGTAAATCCTCACCTTTAAAAACCACACATTCAGTTTAAAATAGAAATGAAAGGCAATCTGTTAAGCTTTTTTCCTGTGTTTTGGAAGTGTACACATGCCCTCTGTTCTCAGCTGCATAAGGAGCTCAGGGAAGAAAGACAGCAGCACACTGATCTTCCCAGTGAATGGCTGTACAGGGGGTGGGGGGGTGTGTCAATACAGGCCTGATCATTAGATTAGCTCCCAGAACAGCCAGAAAACTGACCACGCCGTGTTCTCCTGTCTAGTATGGTCAGTTTTTAATAGAAAAGCAGATGGACTGGCAGGAACACCAAGGATTTCACACAAAGGAAGCAATGCAAAGAGAACCAGTTACTTGTTCATGCATGTTTATGGTACATCCAACACAACAAATACTTTTCTCCTGCGCTAGGAAAAGACTCAGTAGACCCAATAGGAATGTTCTGGAATTTTCTGGAATATGCACTGCTTGCTGCTCTCAACAGACCGGGGTGGTCCAAATACACTGGATGCAAATGGAGAAACAGAAAAAGGGCGCACCGATCTAGTGCATTATCGTTTAAAATATTTATTGAAGAAACAAAGTAAGTATTATACTTCCAATAGACATAAAAACGCAGGCATGTCAAACTGAACAAGATGTATGATCCAAACAACATCTGAGTCCATATGATGGAACCCTGGATGACCAACTGGCTAACGCGTTTCGAGGACAGGGCTTTGAGGAAGAGGTTGTCCTTGAAACGCATTAGCCAGTTGGTCATCCAGGGTTCCATCTTATGGACGCAGATGTTGTTTGGATCATACATCTTGTTCAGTTTGACATGCCTGTGTTTTTATGTCTGTTGTGAGTATGATACTTTGTTTCTTCAATAAATATTTTAAACGATAATGCTCTAGGTCGGTGCGCCCTTTTTCTGTTTCATGTTTATGGTACAGCAGGCACATATCAGGAAATATGAAATGTTGTGTTTATATAATCTTTTAACCAAAGACCTCTGTACGGCATTTTGTACTGGAGGGGAGCGGCTAATTTGTAGCCCTATTACTGGGTTCTCTGAACTATAAGAAGTGCTTTGAAAGCCAGGCTTTAATCCACAGCGTTATGATGGCTACACAGGAGCATAGCTGTTACACAATGTGAATGTTTTCTGTACATTTCTGTACGGTTCCTTTGTATAAAGAGTAGTCCGTTATATACACAGACGTTTAGAGAGCGATATCAGCATGTTGAAATTTTTTGTTCATAAAGTGGAACAAACCAGAGGTGACCCAGCACTGCATATGACTGTACATGAAGCATGTGCATATTGGGTTAAGGAGGCCAGGTTTACATGTTCCTAAAGTGTAAAATAAGCAGTTCATTAACAAAGACAATCACATTTTTTGTCTACCTTTTTATTCTTTTACCTTGAGATTCTTTGAGTGCCTTATCATGTTTATGTTCTGTTTCCAGGCTTCTCCGCATATTTTTTTCTGCTGGGCTGGACATCACAGAGATGTGTGGAAAGAGTGCTGAGCACTATGCAGCTTTCTGGAGGGCTGTGCAGGAGATGTGGCTGAAACTGTTCGGATCCAATATGGTGATAATCGCAGCTGTCAATGCAAGTGTTTCCTGTTCTTCTATTGGAAAACCCCTTTAATTTTAACTTTATTGTATTTTAGGTACATTTTAGGTACATCTTTCATCAAGAAATTATAAACTGCAAAATATCAAAAATTCCACATTTCTTAGTTTGTTTTGAGAAGTCTCAGAGCAGTTAAAAAGGTTTGTCTTGGGTTTTGGCAAAATATAGATTCTTATTTTCCTGGGGATGACCATTCCGTTTCCCTTCTAGAAGATCAAGTCCACAATTGAAGTGGGTTCCAGTGAGCTGCACAACATGCAGCAGAAGCTCAAATTTCAAGAGGTGCATTATAGCACATCCATTTTGAATGGGCTACCTAATGCAGGGTGCCACAATGCACACCTGCTGCACTCAGGTGTTAGCAGTCATTAGTAAGCAACACATAGTTCAGAGGTTAGTAGTAAGTAACTCGGAGGTCAGTAGTATGTAACACAGAGGTCCATAGTAATTATGGCAGAGTTCAGGGGTTAGTAGTAACAGAATGCAGGTGTAAGTAACAGAGTTCAGAGGTCAGTAGTATGTAATGAAGAGTTCAGAGATTAGTTGTAACAAATGCAGAGTTCAGAGGTAAATGGTAATTAAAGCAAAGAGTTCAGAGGTCACTTCTAGGTAATGCAGACTGCAGGGGTTGGTAGCAGGGGCGGACTGACAACTCATGGGGTCCCCGGGCAACAGGGGATCATGGGGCCCCTGTGTCCTTGCCCAAACTCAAAAAAGCCTATGAAAAAGGTACCAGGGGCATCTCATGGGGCCCCCTACTGACCCCGGGCCCTTGGGCAGTGCCCGAGTTTCCAGATGGTCAGTCCGCCCTAGTTTGGTAGTAAGTAATGCAAAGTGCAGAAGTGAAGAATAAGTAATGCAGAGGTCGCTAGTATGTAACGCAGAGGTCGCTAGTATGTAACGCAGAGGTCGCTAGTATGTAACGCAGAGGTCGCTAGTATGTAGCGCAGAGGTCGCTAGTATGTAGCGCAACGCAGAGGTCGCTAGTATGTAACGCAGAGTTCAGAGGTCAGTAGTATGTAACGCAGAGTAGTATGTAACGCGTTCAGAGGTCAGTAGTATGTAACGCAGAGGTCAGTAGTATGTAACGCAGAGTTCAGAGGTCAGTAGTATGTAATGCAGAGGTCGCTAGTATGTAATGCAGAGTTCAGAGGTCAGTAGTATGTAATGCAGAGGTCGCTAGTATGTAATGTTCAGAGGTCAGTAGTATGTAATGCAGAGGTCGCTAGTATGTAATGCAGAGTTCAGAGGTCAGTAGTATGTAATGCAGAGGTCGCTAGTATGTAATGCAGAGTTCAGAGGTCAGTAGTATGTAATGCAGAGGTCGCTAGTATGTAACACGGAGTTCAGAGGTCAATAGTAAGTAATGCAGAGTGCATTCTGTTGTTGCTTTTTACTGCTGCTTACAAAATTAAATCTAATTGGATTTCAAGAGCTTCCTAATTGTATTCTGCAGCCCCAGCCATTAACTGTTTCCTGATTTTAGGAAGCTGCCACTCTAATGCAGAATAAATGCTGATAACTCAGTTGTACCTGCTGTGTGGCAGATACATACACATGCATCTGCATTGTAAAGAGCAGAAAACGGATGATCTCTCTTACAACACTTGTCAGCCCGGAACTTAGGACCTGCCATTACAGCCAGCACCCTAATGCCCACCTGTGATTCCTGTCCTCTGCCCTTTTACGCAGTTCCAGATGGCAGGCACCTACTCTGCAGCTCGTGTGTCCCTTCCCCTGGCCCTCCAAACTCTCCCATCTCTGCTTTAACACAGCTGTGTCTAGTGGTTTGACAGGGCCATGCCTCATACTGCTCACTGATTGACGGCAGCCCTCTAGTTCCTGGAGTCCGTCCTTACCCCTAGCTTAGGACTTTCTCAGCTCTGATGCAAGAGGCAACATGGCAAAGTCACAATCTACCTGCCAGGTGGCCACAATCGACAGGTTGCTGACACCAGATCTAGACATATAAAGGACAGAATCCTAAAAAAAAAGTATTAAATATTCATGACATCCACAGTGACCGCACAGAAAAGTTAGTTGTTTCACATCCTCCTTTTTTTTTTTTTTTTTTTTCCTACATAGGGTTCCAGTCCCGCTGGAGGGTGCCTTATGGCCTTGTGCTGTGATTACAGGATCATGGCAGACAGCCCAAAGTACAGCATTGGCCTGAATGAGACCCAGCTGGGCATAGTAGCTCCCTTCTGGTAATGTAGAAAAAAACCGACATAGTCTATTTGCGTTTCTTCTTCCTTCGCTTCTTTTCCAGCTGATCAACCGTCAAGGTGTGCCAGAAATTCTACCTAACCCTTTGTTCACATAATTAACAGGTGTGCTTGTACTCTGTGGATCATTGTGTTTCGCTATGAGGCAAACAATTATTTCATTCTTTAGTCTGCATACTAAATAGCTTCAGAAAATGCATTGATGAACAAAAGTTTTCCACTTATAGGGCTCATACAATATGCCTAGTGTAAAAAACACATTTTCCTGTGGATGGGGAGATGCAGGTTGAGTCCACAATTGACCATAGAAGAAAAGGGCTGTGTATGCCTTTGTACTTGTTTAACCGCTTACCGACCATGTGACTTATGAGTACGGCGGCAGAGTGGCTCTCCTGCACTAGATCAGGTATCTAATACATGATCCAGCTCTTCCAGGTAGAGGGCATGTGCACTGTGCTACCCGGCTGTGCTGTGTTTAGGCTCAGCACAAGCCGATCAGCAGGTCCCAGCTAGTGATCGGACACTGATGCTTCTTACCCATGCATGTGCGTACAGAGTCATATCCTGAATGCAACACTTGTGCTTACGCTGGATATTTTATGCCTAGTTATGTCCATGCGCATGTGGCCTTAGCAAGAAAACAGAAAACCCCATGCATGAATAGGCAAGTTGGCAAGTGGTTGGGTTACCATTAAAGTGGGATCTAGCATCATATATATTTTCTCACAAATACATGCATGCTATGTATAGTGTAACATAACACTTGGCGATATTTATTACCTTTCATCAAGATCACAGTATTTTCCCTGACAATGTCTTTATCTGCTGTGGTCTTTATGAGCACAGGTTCATCCATCATTTACGGTTAACTGCTACTTTCTGGACTGATGCTGGCTCAAAGATGACATAATTATGTTAATCCTGTGGCCTGTGTAGTTTTTGGCTATGTTTACAAATGCCTGACCGAGATCAGGCTATGCTGCAGCCTCTCACACTGGGATTTTCTATAAAAGTCAGTCTGATCACTGGGGGAGGAGACTGAGGAAATACCTCCTCCTGTCTGTAATGATAACTTTGCAGACAAAGTCACTGACTGGAGTTGAAAGGCTGCTTATGAATGATAAAAGGTGGAGCTTTAAAAAAAAAAAAAAAAACACACACGTACACGTCCAAATATATATTTGGACATAAGCACAATTTTCTTACTAAAATATCAAAAATGTGCCGCGCTCCACTGAAAATTGCAACAAACTAAAAACATAAGTGCAAAAATTTAAATGTACCAAACTGTTGATTTGGCCACTCCAAATGTTGCTGCTATCTCTCTGATGGATTTGTTTCATTTTTGAAACCTTACAATGGCCTGTTTCACTTGCATGGAAAGCTCCTTTGAACGCATGATGTAGGTTCAGAGCAATAGACTCCAATGCAAATACCACACTTAGAATCAACTCCAGACCTTTTACCTGCTTAATTGATGAAGACATAATGGAGTAGCCCACACTTGGCCATGAAACAGCTTTTGATTCAATGTTCCAATTACTTTTGGTCCCTTAAAAAAGGGGGATGGCTATTCTTAAGAGCTGCAATTCCTAAACCCTTCCTCCAATTTGGATGTACATACCCTCAAATTAAACCTGAGAGTGTGCACTTTCAGCCCATATCCATTATATAACTATAGCCTGAGTATGTTTTGGTAAATATGTGAAAAAAACAAAAATTGTGCCGGAGTCCAAATATATATGGACCTAACTGTATGTATGTGTGTATGTATGTATGTATGTATATATATATATATATATATATATTATATATATATATATATAGTGTGTGTATAATCTCCTAGATTGTAAGCTCCAAGGATCAGGGCCCTCCTAACCCTCTTGTATTGAACTGTATTGTTTCTGTATTGTCTCCTGTTATATTGTAAAGCGCTGGGCAAACTGTTGGCGCTAAATAAATCCTGTATAATAATAATAATGTGTGTGTATATACACACACACACATTATTATTATTATATACAGGATTTATATAGCACCAACAGTTTGCTCAGCGCTTTACAATATAACGGGAGACAATACAGCAAAAATACAAGAGGGTTAGGAGGGCCCTGATCCTTGGAGCTTACAATCTAAGAGATTATATATTTATATATATATAGATATATATATATATATATATATATATATATATATATATAACCTGTATGTTGTTACATGTCAGTAATTTATTCATGCAGATTTGTAAAGTTATTGAAAGGTCCTCTTTGATTACCTTGGCATAGCACTAAAACAGGTATTCTGTGAGTGGCTCAGCAGTGTTAATGAGCTGATCTCCAGCATGAAACAGCTAAGAAGAGGAGAATTATTCCTCATTCTGCAGCAGTATGAGTTCATTATAACCTATGAAAGGAACATGTGCGGGAAGTCAGATATGATGTAGAGTGAACTGAGGTAGGTTAAAACATACATATGAATACTATACAAGTGTCTAATGCTGTTTTTTCTACGTTTTGGATAGAGTGGGTAAGGGTTAGAACCTCTCTTATGATTTATTGCTATCCATTTCACTTTTGGAGAGACGCTATCTTCCCCAACTTCCTGTAAGGTCAACAGGACAGCAATAAAACCTGACAGAGGTTCTTATTCTACTTAGAATGGGACTTTCTTACTGCCTTTTCACCTTTACTTCCAATCTGTGATCATTTGGAAAGTTGGGAGAGCTTTTCCCAACAGCAATAAAAACCCTTCCCCACTATCCAGATTCACGCCACTGTAATCTCATTTCAGGATTTTGGTTCCTTTGTCTGGTGTCTAAGTACTGATTTCATGTAGGCCGTTATAAACTTTGTAGAAGTATTGAAGAAGTACATGACAATCTTTAGTCCGCTACATATCTGCTGCTTTGTGGCTCTGAAAGAAATGGGTTTCTGTGGCTGGAGTTGGCCGAGACCAAAAAAGGCTTTGTTAGTGTTCGTGTTCCTACAACTGGCAGTTTTTACCCTGAGAGGAATTCATTTTTAAAACAGAACACATTAGTCTGTAGTATGTTGTACTCGTGTTTAAATTTGCTTTTGAATGCAACCAGTGTGCTTAATTTACAGCTTTGTATATAATGTGCACGTTTTCATTTAATTCATTTTAACAAGTGCGTCATATAGACGTGTAACTGTTCCTGAGCAAGTCTTTGCATCCTTTTCAGGTTCAAGGACACAATGACACACATTGTAGGGAGCCGTGTGACAGAGCAATCCCTCCAGCTGGGACAAATGTATCCTGCCCCCGCAGCTCTTAAAATCGGTCTTGTGGATCAGTTAGTTCCAGAGGATAAGGTACAGAGCACTGCAGCTACCGTCATGGCTCAATGGCTGTCTGTCCCAGGTAAGAACACTACGTGGAAATCCTAGCAGAGTCCAAGAACCCCACCTGCAGAATTAGATGCCTTTCTATTGCATCTTAAAGTTTTATAAGTATGGAAAGTGTATCAAAGCTATTAAATATACCATACATGTATGAGAACTGTTTTTCACCAGCTAAACTATTTTTTTAAAAATATGTACAGTTTTGTGATCTGGGCTTGCTTTCGAGACAGCAGGTCTAGGTCCATAACTGCCTTTTATAAAGACCACATCCCCAGGTTGCTGACTGAACAGTGAAAGGAGAAGCGGCACATGGATAAAATCATCCCTCTATGCATTCTGCTTTCTCCTCCTGTCAGTATATTTCCTGCCAGCTGTTCATTGTACATGGGCAGAACTTGAATGGTTCAGAGTGCTGGCTCAGCCTCTCCCAGTCTGAATGCTACTGTATGGAGGATTACTTTTTTTTTTTTTTTTTTTTTAAGTGTTCTTGCATGGCAAGACCACTTACTGTTATCTCACATATATATTCTTATTATTTACCACCCTAACTCCTCCCACAGTTTTTAAACTACATAGACAGTAATATACGGAAACGTGCAGATTGTTCCCGATTGGTGTGCTATTACTTTGTGGAACGTTTCGCTGAATGGTTCACAAAATATTGGCGTTTTTGTGGTGAAATTGGTCCCATAGGAATGAATGGCGGAATGTTCAAAACTAGAGTGGGAGCTGAAAAATCAGGACATGATTTCTAAACTGTCATCACTCCCTCATTTTCAAGCCCACCTACACACGTTCAGCTATCCTTGCTGCCACTAAAAATGTCCACGGCTAAGCCAAAGTCCTGATAGTTTTCACAATATGACCATTTGTTTGCAACTCACGCCGCCCATTGACTTTCATTGAAACTGTACTCTAGCCACCTCAAATTTGAAGGGCAATTTCTAAACTGCGACTGTGCCTTCATTTTTAATATTTCAGAGACATACTATACATCAAAATGTAGGTCTGGGTCTTGTGAGTCTAAAAATATAAAGCTCTTTGGTGTAGGATTTATAATTTTTAAACTACAAAGGTTTGAAGATGGCAACCGCCAGTGAAGTGAGCAAGTTGGAGCAGTTTGTTTTTAACCGCTCTTCTCTGCCCTTGCTGTAGAGTGAGTTGCCATAGGAACCCAGGTGTGTGAGCAGGCAGCAGAGTGACAAAAGCTAGAGTGTGAGCTGAAAAATAAAAGTTGAAATGCATTTCTCACTCTATCAAGCTTGCCATGTGCACTTTTTAAATTTGATCAATCAGTTGGTTAGTGTAATGTTTACTATCTTTACTCACTCCAAACACTCCATAAAGTTACTCTGCCCACTCCAACCTTTTCACAGTTACTCCAGCCACTCCAACGACACAACAGTTACTCCGCCCACTCCACCCAGGTACTCCGCCCACTCCAGTTGTAGACTACTGGTGGAGGCAAGAACACTTCACACAATTTCCCCAGAAATTGCAGCTTTTCTAGTTTTAAATTATTTCTGATTGGTGTTCAGTTTTAAAGTGCATCCTTCAAATTATTTTATAGATGTACCTTCAGTGCACCTTAGATGTAACTATTTAATAGGCCAAAACTTACTGCTGCACTGAAGTCACTTGCAGCATAGACTGGGGTGCTGTTATCCCTTCTTGTCCTGGGTGGGTCTCAGAAGAAAGTACATCTATTATTGCTGAACCTTTATAAGGGTTAAACAGTAAATGTAGCAGTAAATGGCAAGTCTGACTGTGTCCCAAAAGGCTCACAGAGAAGCACCTAATCCATGGAGACAGATAATAGTTTGTTTACAAAAAAATAAAACCTCTATAAAATGTGGAATGCAGAAAGTCCCTGCTGCAAGAATATAATATTGTTACTGTAACTTGAATAGGAGCTAAAAGTTACATTTGTTACATAAAGGGGAACTATCATATCTATTTTAGTATGCACTTGTTTTACGTCTTATTGGGAAGTTTACCGGAGAGTCATTTTTATGCTCTTACATGCTACAAAAATCTGTTTTTTTATATGCTCTGTTTTCATGTTTATTTATCCTACACAAATCAATAGGCTCTCACTCTAGTAGGTAACTCTCTGTGAAGAGCGTATAAAATCAGCAGTATACCAAAATCCCTGTACTGCTCTCCTAGCTGGGAAGTGCAGATTGCTTAAGCTGGCCATAGATGGATCCAGTCTTGGCCGATTCAGCAGGGACTGGCCGAGATTGCATCCATGTATGGTCAGGCTAGTTGTACTGAAGTTCGACTTTAGTACAACCAACCTGTCAGATTTTTTTCATGCGATCACAAACAATAGCACTGCAGGAGGAATTCCTCCATCAACACTGACTGTGTTAATGGTGGAATCAACCACTTTTCTATCCTTCTACCTGTGGTGTTGTTTATTTTATGGGCTGCTTTATGTATTCAGCAAGTATGGTTGTCCTATATATGTTTTTAAAAACCGAAATAATCAGTTTAAAACCTCACATAAGGATAAAATAGTCTACTTTAAAAAGAAGCCTAAATTGAGAGAATCACAGAGGCTACCATTGCTGATCTCTTCTGTTGTAAAATAGTTGCCTGGCTGTCATACTCTCCTTATTGCTTTGAGTCACTGACCCAGAATAAAACTGGCCATAGATTGATCAAACAGAAAATGGACGGATTCTCTCATCCACACATTTGAGGTCATTGAAGGAATATTCCCCACTGCGCAATTGTATTCTGACAACAGGGACTCCTCTGCTGTCAGAATACACAGATCAGTGCTGCAGCCAATTGGCTGCAAGCCGCTGATCAAGTGAAATATTTTCAACATTCCCATTCAATGTTTTCAGGAAATGTTGATTATGTGATGTTTTCAGGAAGCTACTGTATATACAGCACCTTGCCAGCCCCTCCCACCAGTCATGATCTGCCTGCATTACATAGAGACCAAAATAAGATCCGTAATGAAAACGGAAAGGTTTTAATTACTTACCAACCGCACACTGTAAATTAACTGCTACAGTGCGGGTCAGCTCCGCAGAATCACGTATATATACATGATTCTGCTTTTTCGGGTAAGGGACACGCCATCCCACCCAGTCGGGCTGTCATTTGCTCCCTTACAAGCCAATCACTGGGTCCTGGGACCTGACGATCAGCGAAGCAAATGACAGGAGAGAGATTGGTGTATGTAAACAACACAGATATCTCTCCTGTCAGCAGGGATGTTGTGGTATTTTATCTCCCTGCAAAGCAGGGAATAAAAACCAGCACATCCCCTAGTAAAACACCATACAGTACATAGTGCCCTTAGTAAAGCAGCACACAGTTAACTCTTTGATCGCTTCAGATGTTAACTCCTTCCTGACCTGTGTCATTAGTACAGTGAAGGTGCTTTTTTATTAGCACTGATCACTGTATTAGTGTCACTGGAGGTGTCAGTGGCAGTTATTCAGTTCCCACCCAGTGTCTGAGTCCGAATGCAGCTGCACTATCATTGTCCCGCTAGAAGTCACTGATCACTGCCATTACTAGTATTGAAAAAATAAATTCTAGTATCTATACCATAGTGTACAGATGCTATAATTTTTACGCAAACCAATTAATATACACTTGTTGGGATTTTTTTTTACCAAAGGAATGTAGCAGCATATATCTTGACTTAAATTTATGAAGACATTTTTTATTTTATTGGATATGTTTTATAGCTAAAAGTAAAAAATATATCTTTTTTTTTTTCAAAATTTTCAGTCTTTTTTCGTTTATAACCCAGCGGTGATCAATTACCACCAAAGGAAAGCTCTGTTTGTCTGAAAAAAAAAGATATAAAGTTAATTTATATTTGTAAGTTCAGTTGTCAGTTAAAATAACGCAATGGCGTATAGTAAAATATGGCCTGGTCATGAAGGGGGTAAATCTTCTGGAGGGCAAGTGGTTAATTTTTAAAAATGTCATTAGCATGTTATTGGGAGGGAAAGGAGGAACAAGGGGAGGCAGACTAAACTTAAGCTGTAAAACCACTTTTGCCAGTTCATCCTGTACAATGGACATAAAGAGCTAGAAGAAGGTATATGTCCCCAAACAGACACAAAGAGAAAAAGATCTGACCAGGGGCGGACTGACAACTCATGGGGCCCCTGGGCAATAGGGGATCATAGGGCCCCTGTGTCCTTGCCCAAACTCAAAAAAAAGCCTATGAAAAAGGTACCAGGGGCATCTCATGGGGACCCCGGGCCCTCGTGCGGTGCCCCAATTTTCAAATGGTCAGTCCACCCCTGGATCTAACTGACATTCTGGCTTTTTCTTCACTTAGTCCAAAATGATAAAGATACTTTTTGACTGGATTTCCGCTATGAAGGCTATAGATTGTGATTTGAATACACTTATCAAAGAGTATTGCCATAGATGATGCAATGAAATATATATATTTTTTTTTTCTTTTACAGATCATGCCCGTCAGATCACCAAGTCTATGATACGTAAGCCTATCATAGACAGGCTAGTCAAACAGCGAGAGGCCGATATCAATAATTTTGTCAGCTTCATCTCCAAGGAATCCATCCAGAAGTCTTTGCTAGTCTACATGGAAAGGTTGAGGCAGAAGAAGCAGTAACCTGCCGAGTAGATGTTGAAATATATAAGAAAAGCCATAAACTACTGTAAATCACAAAGCCTCTAGTATTAATGAAGATGGGATTTGGACTTGTGTGGTGATGTGGAGAAAGCTCTGATGAGCGTGCCTTTACAGCTGCCTTTGTACATTCTCAATGTTCTTCCTAAACTGATTACAGATCTGCAGGTGTATTGCAAGGTAGCTAAGTATTTGTATAGATTTTTTCCTAATCGGATGGTAATTGAAATTCAGTCCATGTTTTCTTTTCACCAACCAACTTTTCACCAATAAAATATTTTGTGAAGAAACTTCAAAAAGTTTACTGTAGTAAATGTGTGTGTATATTATGATAGTCACTTTATTGCTGAAACCTGTGCTCCGCAAATATTGCCTAAATACAAGAGACATGTTGAACCTTCGTCTCTGTGTTCTTTGTGTATTTCTTCCAGATCTATGCAGTATTTTAGTGTTTTAAACCAGTGTTGGTTATCCCTCTTGACTCCAGGGCTGCAAATGTAGCCCCTGACATTACCATAGTACTGCACATGACCAGTGGTGTATTTAGGTTTTGTGCTGCCCTAGGCAGCACAAAAATCGGGTGCTCCCCAATAAAGAAAACCCTGACATTGTCCAACAACATCCTTCCCACCCCCCACCTGAAAGAGCCTTCCACCACCCTCCCCCGGCGACAAAAATATTCACCTTCACAGCTCCGGACACCCCAGGAACAGGAGTCAAGCTCTGCATACACCATCAAGCAGCCCACAATTTCTCTCGGATCCCACCTGGTCCCCATGCCACATGTGTCTCTTCTTCCATCCCTTCTTGGGGGCGGTGCTGCCCCCTGAAAAATGCAGCCCTAGGCAAATGCCTTGTTTGCCTTCTGGTAAATACACCCCTGCACATGACACACAGTGAGGCCTCATTCGTACCATACGTGCAGAAAAACTGATGGAAACTGATGTGCGGATTTCACTTGCAGAGACATCAGTTTTCATGAGCACTTCACTGAGTTTTATACTCGTTGCAGATTCCGGTGCAGAAAAAATCTGCATGTGATATTAGTGTTGTGTGAACATGGAAATTGATTTGGTTGTGTCCTTGCAGAATGCGTGTAGAAAAACTGACGTCTCTGCACCATGCTGTGACTGAGCCCTTAATGTAAGGCCACAAAATTTTCAGTCATGCAACAGGAAACCATCAAAGACTAAGGCCATCCTACAAGTGCTGGTTAATGACTGCAAACATGCTATAGGGGTTGTTGGAGACTTTACAAATCAATGCTTCCACATTTGTGCTTCCTATATAACTTCCTTAACAATTATTTGTGCCACATTTAATATTTCTCTCGGTAAAGATCAGAAGGGGAAAAAATAAAAAGTTGAAAAGGTTGGGTAACACAGAAAATGTAAGAAAGGGGAGGAGAGAAAAGCATGTGGATTTCAAATCCCCATATCTGTGAAGCAGCTTTCAGTTATGTGACTGCATGGGATCAGTGCAGGTAGGTTTCCAGCAGTGCTCCGGTATGAACTCATGTTATGACAGCACAGTAGCTAAATGGTTAGCACTTCCGCCTGGCAGTACTAGAGTCGTTGGTTTGAATCCCAACCACGGCCACCTGCCTGGAGTTTGATGTTCTCCCTGTGCCTGCGTGGGTTTCCTCCGGGTACTCTGGTTTCCTCCAACACTCCAAAGACCTGCAGGTAGGTTAATTGGCTCCTGTCTAAATTGGCCCTAGTATGTGTATGTATGAATGTGAGTTAGAGTCCTTAGATTGTACACCCCTTGAGGGTTAGGGACTGATGTGAATGTACAATGTGTGTGTGTATATTTGTGTGTATGTATATATTTATATATATATTAGTGTGTGTATATGTAAAGTGCTGCGTAAATTGACGGCACTATATATAAGTACCTGAAATAAATAAATAAATGACAAGCCTGGGTTCACACAGCAGCGGTGGGGAAACCGCATGCGATTCAGACAGGAATGGCCTGTTCAAATTGCATGCAATTCTTTGCAGTGCAATTGGCACCCATTCATTTTGTAGAGATGCAAATTGCAGCGTAAAGTATCGGTACTTTGTATCGGCGAGTACTTGACCGAAACTATCAATACTCGTCGATTAAAAAAAAAAAAAAAAAAAAGTATCGGTGCATCACTAGTTTGCACACCTTTTTGTTTTGATGAAACTGGAATGTATTTATATGGAACAAAATATACAAACGTCTTACAGTTTTTTCCCCAGCCTGTGCAGAAAAGTTTGTTCTCTGCCTTGTTCTCTGTGTGGAAGCAGTGGTCTCTCTATAGAGGTCTGAAACCTCCTTCTACAGACTCAACTATACTGATTGCATTTCTACTCATGCTGTAGCTGATTTCTAAAGAAAATCAACTGTAAGACTTTGCACAACAGATAAACTAGATAAACTCTTAGTCATGGTGCACCCAGTATTTGCGTAAGGCAAATGGATTGATGATAATGCACCAAATAATTCTCTAAGGCAGCCCATAGATTATGCAATTTTTCTTTCCTTCCACCACAAGTTCCACACAGTCAGTGCTGATGGGGGAACCCTCCCACAGCGCTATTGTGTTTTGTTGGCGGGGAGTCTTCCCTGCCAATCAAACACAATGATTACTGTGGCTGGCTATAGCTGGCGGCACAAATCATTCAGGAAAAACCTGACAGGCTGGTTGTACACAAGTCTATCGATCCTTAAATTGAAGGGTTTGAAAAGTAATAGGCAGTGAGCTGCTCTAAGATTACATTTTATGCAGCCTGTACATTATGACTTCATCGTTTGTTCAAAAAGTACAGAATAAGGCAGTATATGCTTTGTATAAAAGCCAGAAACATAATATTTTTTATTTACTCCAAATGTCATAATGATGGCACTGCCTGAGCACACCCACATTTCAATCTTTCACAACCACACAAAATATATATATATCAAAATTGGACTGCGCTAAGTTCACAAATTAACAAAATAAACTGCAATCTTTAAAGTATTAATATCAAGTATAAAATATTAATATTTTATTTGTATTTTGCGTAGTGTTCTCACTTTAAAGATTGCACGGATTATTTTGTTTGTGACCTTAGCGCTGTCCAATTTTGAAATAAGATTTTGTGTTTAGAAATTCACATTTAGGACTAATAATAATAAATCCTCCTGCGCGTCAATGGATGATCCCTCAACCAAAGCTGCTCACACCCACACATTTAGGACTGCTGCTATATAGGTATCTTATACAGGGTGCAGCAACATAACTTCCTTTTATGAAATGCGTGCCATTCAGGCTGTAGCGGCCATAGCGGGGCGGGAGTGGTCTCAGGCGACAGGCGTAGTTCTAAAGTTTTTGTTCTCTTCCAGGTCAGTCATCATCATGCGTTGGAACAGTGAGCAGCGTGCGTTTGCCATAGAGGCCTACTTTTTGAACGGATTTTCTGTGATCGCAACCCAACGCGCATTCCGACATCGCTTCAATGTAGCCCCGTTGGGGGTTTTAAGGGAACACTAAATTTAAATTTTAAACTTTAAGGGAAACAGTTATGGCTGTTTTAAGGGTGATTTAGTCAAGGACTGAATCGTCCAGTGCTTATCTGTTCCTGTCCTAATTTATGACGCTAGCTTTGGAATGTGCGCACACTGGAAGAGACTCACGCTGACACACAAGTTCAGTCTATGAATACTTCTAGTTTATTATAATGAGAAAGTGAACTTATATATGCAAAATGATGCAAGAGTCATGTGAGAACAGCATAAGCATTATATTAGTCTTTGATTGGTCATTTCCACACGAAAACAATCTCCGTCATGGTATAGGTGTGATCTTCTTCCAGGCCTTATCTTATAGGAAAATAACATTCCTTTGTTTCAAGTTGGCACGGTGGGAGGGGGGCAGTGTGTGTGAGCAGACATTTCTTAAGCAAAGATTTCTTATAGTACCACAATGCCCAGCAGGCAGAAAATATTCACACAACATATGTATTAAAGTATAAAAGTAAATATTTATAAAACTTATAGAAATAGCATATATATATATATATATATATATATATATATATATATATATATTCAATAGGAAACGAAATAGGCATTTTACCAAATCCATCACAAGGGAACACTTCCCGGAGTGCATCTCAATAAGGGGCGATTTGGAGTGGCCAGCCCGCTCCCCCGATTTGGCCCCTTGCGACTTTTTTTGTGGGGTTTTTTTGAAATCCCACATTTATGTAAACCGTCCAAGGACCCTTCAAGACCTGAAGGCCAAACATCCGCGCAGAAATTGCCAACATACCCACTGCTATGCTGGTAAGGGTCATGAAAAACGCCAGAAATCGGCTTATTCAGTGTATGGTCAATGGGGGGCGTCACCTACCTGATATGATTTTCAAAACTGTGTAAAACAGAACTTTAGATATGTACCTACATTATTAAAGACAATAAAAAACAATTCTGATTCATAAAACGGGTTTTATTGCGGTTTTGAAAAAAGGAAGTTATGTTGCCGCACCCTGTATATAGTAACTCTTTCACATATATGTTCATTTATTTTTTTTCCTAAGCGCAACAGCACCCCCTTTTATCTTTTAAATATATTTGCATAGGTTATACACAAATCATATAGCTTTCACTATCTAACATAATATCTACATACTTTTAATACATTTACTAAGTAATCCATCAGACATTTAAAAATTAAACATCATAAGGCCTTGTTAACACTTGTGGCCAGGGTTTTGCCACCCCCAGAATACCCACCTTAAGCTATTATAAGGTGTTACACATGTTGCAGCAACGATGCTTTGTGGCCATGACAAAATGTATACCCCGTGTCATGATTGACATGGAGGTACTGCTGCCAAACACGACCAATTCAAGTAAATGTGTACGGCTCCACAACCACCCTGAAACCAGCCAATTGTATGCTGTAGCTCTGGCTTTTCAGGGTTAACACATCAACATATCACCTCTCAGTCTCGTGTCATTCACCT